GCCCCCGGGACCAACGGGTGAACCGGACCGGTACCGGTCCCCTATCCCGAACCCCCCCATCCCGCCATCTTCAAACGGGACCGGGTCCGTCGGGCCGGTTCTCGGACCGGTCGCGGGCCGGGGCGGGCCGACCCGGTCCCCCTGCCACCCCTAGCTACCATTGATATGGTGATATATTGACATGCACAAGTTACATTAGAAAATGACTAGTAAATTTTATTATGATCGCCCTCATTGATTATATCAAATCTAACCTAGTTAATAGAAAACAATAGGAAAAACTATCATTTTAATTAGTTTTTATGCCAAAGAAATTAAACTCCAAGTCAATCTAAAAAAAAGAATATATGATTCATGATTCAACAAATCTCAAAAATCTTCTTTTTGTCTTCAATTACATAAAAAAATGACTTGTGAATTTCATTAATGATCCTCTTCATTGATTATCAACAAATTCCATCATTAATAAATATAGTTTCTTAAAAAAAAATCAAAGATCAAATCTAATTACAATTATTAGAAAAATAATATGAAAACTACTTTTTATTTTAATTAGGTTTTATTTCGAAAAATCTAAAGACCATATCAATCTTGAAAATTACTATGGAATGCTCCCAATTGACATTAACACGTGTTTGGTTCATTGATGGTGCCGCGGTTGTAAATAAAACAGTGAATTTTATTTATCAAAATTATCCAACGGTGAATTTTGTCTTTGTTCAATTCAGGAAAAAAAGAAAAAGGACAGAAAATAAAATAGGGTAAGTGAAAGGATAAAAAAGATATAAACATTTAATTGAGGCTTTAGAATGACAAACCTACCTCAATCTTTCTCCGTTGGTGTCGGCCGCTTCGGAGGAGGAGGTGGTATGTCGTCATCGTCTTCCAGCGCCGGAGCACCCCCCAATAAGGATTGCAAAATGCAATCCGTTGAACAACTTGTGCTTGTTCTCTGCGACCCTAATCTTCGTGAAAACGCTCTTCTAGAGCTTTTCAAGGTTTATTCTTCTCACTTTAGAGGTGTCTTGGACATTTTGGATTGAGTATCATTTTGTTGTTCTGCTAAATAGAATTAAGATTTACTTAGATATACTTAATGCCTTTGTTTTCCTTTTCCAGAAGAAGGAGTTGTTCCCAGATTTGGGCCGTTTGTTGTGGCACTCATTTGGTACCATCGCTGCACTCCTACAGGTATTTTGAGTAGTGTTCTATTGTAATTCTAGAGTTTATCTCATCTCTCAGATGCGCATAAAGCTAAAGTACCACTTTGCACTGATTATCTACTTTGCACCATTAAAAGTTAAGAATAAAAGGAAACATCTACATGACCTTTTACAACAAAGCTATCAAGAAAACATCTTAATGGTTTTTCGATTGGGGTTATTGAGAATTTCAAATGTTTAAAATTGAAAATGTCCCGTATAGTCCTAGCTTTTACCCCTTAACATCTTGTAGATTCTTAGGATGATTAAAGAGGTTTGTGAAATTTCTGGCTAGGGAGGGAGTGGGAGCTAGTCCCACATTGCCCCATGGGGTACTTCCCTTGTTGTATTTTGTACTCAGGTCATTGGAGGGTTGTATTTCCAATAATGAAAACTAGACAATGTATGTTATTTTCATTGTTTATGTTTGATTGCTTTAGCATTGTCTGGAATAAAGTGATTTGGGGTAAAAATTGGAAACAAAAATACAGGGAAAGTCTCAAAATAGAATTTTGCTTTTCCATATTTGTTTTGATGTAAATGGAGCCAAAACCCCACTTCGAGGAGACATTAACCCAAAAAAGGAAAATATCACTTCTAGGAGGAGAACTTTTTCTGTCATTTAAATCTAATCTCAATTTAACTGTTTTTGTGTCTTAGCCCAACTGAGATGGTAAACAAAAGCTACTATATCATATATGTAGGTAGTTGTATGCTTTGTCAGAGCCAATATTATTGGTTCATTAAAGTAATTTTTTCTACCATGATGAGAATTGAGATTCCGGACTTTATTCTCTCAATTATTTCATTTGTATTTCTTGAACTTCTATTGTAGACATTTTCTGTTCAACTATTTATTTCTTATTTCTTAAACTTATAGTGTGGAAGTTCCTGGCTGTTTCTATAAGTTTGTATCGTTAATTTTCACGTTTGCAGGAAATAGTTTCTATCTACCCTGGTTTGTCGTCGCCAAGCCTGGCTCCTGCACAATCCAATAGAGTTTGCAATGCAATAGCACTTCTACAGGTATATTAACTTCGTTTTGTTGTAGACTTTTTCATAGTGTTTCTTGATACAGTGTCTATTTTTCATTCTTGTTGGTGATCTTAAAGTAATGAGTTATTATTGTCAAGAGAGGTATAGAAAATTGGATATATTTGGGTTGTGCTAAATGTATCAAGAGAGGTGGATGGTGAATGCAACAAACTGGAATGTGTTAGTAGGGAAGTAGTTTACCTTTTATCTCTTTCTTGGAGCATGACAAGTATCACTTCCAAATATCTGTTGTTACCATTGTATAATGCTTTAAGATGCCTCTGTTATTTAGGTTTTTTGCTGGTCAAGGTCAAATTTTCTATCCCTTCTATTGAAATAGTTTCTCATTGCTTTCTATTTTGCAGTCTGTTGCCTCTCATCCTGACACCAGAAAGTCGTTCCTCAATGGTGAAGATTCTCTTCTCTCTCTCTCTCTCTTTTTTTTTTTTTTAAAGTTCTCATATCTGTTTGTCAATGGCAATAAGCTTGGCCTCTTTTGGTATACAACAAAGGCCTTTTCTGACAGTACTTTTGGGTGGAATGTTGTTGGAATGCTAGAAAATTGTTACCTTTGTTGATTTGCAGTTGCTTGTGCATGCAAATTCTTTTCCATTACAATGACAGGGACACTGAAAATTTGTTTAGTTGGACCAACTTGTATCCTGCTGTTAATGCAGAACAACTTCAGGATTTTACTAACTCATTAGCTCTGGCTTAGATAGTTTGTATAGTTAGCCAGAGATTTTTTTGTAAGCTCAAATGCCATATCTTGTAAATTTTGCATCTTCCTGATGCTGTTATTAATACCACTTATCTTATCAAAAAAATGACAGGGACACAAAAATCTCGACACTTCTCATAGTTACATCTCTTAAATCTTATTCTGCCGGCACTTGCTTAGTATCATATTTTCACTTAAATTAAACTCTTATTTACTTGTCAAAAAGAATTCCACAGCTACAAATCAAGAATAAGATCCAAATTGTATCAAATTAATGCCACCCTGCATTTGTTTGATACATCTTTGGACGAGAATTTGAATTTGATTTACACATGAAGACATTATACTTGGATTTATCTTATCCACTACTTGTAGAAAAAAAATAAAATTATACTTGGGTTTTATTTTCCTCGGAATGCATGACTATAAAGTAATAATGACCGCTCGTCCTTGATAGTCACTGATGTCCTTAAAGAGGGAAGAAATGAAGATTACATGTTTGTGTCCTTAGGTTTATTGAAGCGCTGCAACACAAGAATGTTGTCTTAGATAAGTACCCCAGCCCTATATTATTCATGTAAAATGCTTTGTAACCTTCATAAACTTAATATGTACGTCCAAAAAAATATCAAATAAATGGACTTCATAATCATGATGTGTTCTTGAGATTTTGATAGACTTTTGTGTGATGATAGTTGTAATTGTAATCCATCATATTTGTGATAATTGGTTTCCCTTGAATAGATCCTTCTAACAGTTTTCTACTTTTCAGCAAAAATTCCTTTGTATTTGTACCCATTTCTTAACACAACAAGCAAGTCGACACCCTTTGAATATTTGAGGCTTGCAAGCTTAGGTGTCATTTGTGCCCTTGTGAAGGTAATAAGTCTACTGTATTTCATTCGTCTCTCTATCTGCTTCCATTGTCAGTATAAAGATTTTATTCATGATCATATCTACTGGTAATGACATGAGAAGGAAACCGTGATTAGTTAAAATTTTAGGAGCTATATGTTATTCTGTACCTATTTAATCAATTATTGTTCTAAAGCTTAAATGCACTTTGTTTGCGCAGGTAGATGACACTGAAGTTATCAGTTTTCTTATTTCAACAGATATAATTCCGAAGTGCTTGTGCGCGATGGAGATGGGATGTGAACTATCAAAAACAGTTAGTGCTTCCCCAAAACCAATTTCCAGTTACATCCTCCCTTGACTTGATTTGATTTTCATGCATCTAATTTATTCATGCTGACAGGTTGCGACTTTCATTGTGCAAAAAATCCTTCTAGATGACGTGGGTCTGAATTACGTATGTGCCATATCTAAAAGTTTTTTCGAAGTAATCCAAGTTTTAGGGAATATGGTGGGTGCACTTGCTGAACAACCTTCATCAAGATTGTTGAAACACATAATCCGGTGCTATCTTCGTTTGTCAGATAATCCAAGGTTGGTTTTCTGTATATCACCATCCCGGTTTTCCTTTCAGCTTGCTTATGTGTGATATATTACAGCCCTTTTCGATCTTTCCGTTTCTGTGAGGCTAAAGGTGATGTGTTTGGCTTATGGCAGGGCTTGTCAGGCACTGAAAACTTTTCTTCCCAATATGCTTAGAGATAACACCTTCAGCAGTTGTCTTCGTGTACGTAATATTTGGCAATATAATTAGCTCCACCCCCACCCCACCCCTCGCAGGGCTTCCGCCTTAGTGATCATGCAACATTCTTCTTTTTCTTTTTGGCATTAACCTTTTGTTCTTTTTTTCCAACCATGACTGGTTTTGTCGTGTTATGTTATCAGGAGGATTCAATGGCGAGGAATTGGCTGCTGCAATTGCTCCTTAACGTTAATGGGAGTCGGGTTGCTCCACAGGCTGGAGGATTTGATCATATGCTGTGATCTGAATTCATACATATGGATCTTTTGTTGATGTATTTAATGTTCATACTTAAGAATGCATTTCTGCACTCATATTTATTTATGTAGTGCATTTTATATATGTAGATCATTATTGGGAGATTAAGAATATTATTGGACCTTTAGTAAGCCTTTTCTCTTTGGGGAAAAAACACTTGTATTTCAATAAAAAGAAGGAAACTATTATAAGCTGCTACCTACTTATTTTCCTACCTTCCTGTTTTTAACTACTAATTCACGTTTATTGCTTGATACTATCAAAAAGTATATATATGAAGTAGTGTATCAAGAAAATATTACTCAGTTACGTCTTGATAGTTGATACCATTAGGGCTCGTTTGGTGTGAGGGATTAGAAATAATAGTGATGGGATAAGGAAATAGTGATGGGGATAAAAAAAAATTATGTTGTTTGGTTGGCAAGTCCGGGATAATTTATCCCGGGGATTAATAATTAGTACCGGGATAAGTTATCCCTCCCCATGGGTGGTATAGTAATCCCGGGATAACTTATCCCGAGATAAAATAAGTAAATGACAAAAATGTCCCTTTAAATCCTTTTATACATCATTTTTTACATTTATGTATATTTACTTTTTTTTTAATACCATGTATAATAATATTTACTACTCCTTATTTTTATGATAATTATACATATTTTTCTATTAAAAAATTATACTATATAAATATAATTTTTATTTATGAATTTATTTGACTAATTCTTATGTTTATTTTATTTTGATTTCTCATAAATTTTCTTCTCTTTAATAAACTTAAGAGGGAAGTTCTATTTTTAAGCTAAATAAGAAAAAAGTTATATTTTTAAATACACATGGTACTTATCATGGGAATACATAAACAAAAATATTTAAGTTAAATAAAATAAAAGTTTTATTTTAAAAAATGAATAACTAAAGCTCACAAAGAAATATTTAAAAAGTTTAAATAAAGTGAAGGGTAATTTTGTAAACAAACAATTTGTTCTTAAAATTTATCAATATATATTATTGTGAATATAACAAACCAAACACTCAATAAGAAATAATCTCAGGACAACTTATCCCATCATAACTAATCCCAACATAACTTATCCCAACATAACTTATCCCATCATAACTCATATTCAAACCAAACGACCCCTTAAAGTATATATACTCTGATGCAGTACCACCGAAAGATTGCTTGATATTGGATACATGTATCTGAATAATTGTATCTCCTATCTTCTTTTATTTGAAATTATGATACACATATATTATATGGTACTAAAAATTGATAAATGTATGCTCTGAAATTGTTATATGTTGCTATATAAAAAAGGAGTATAAAACGCGAATACACAATGTACCTATAGATATGTATGATAAGTCAAATTTAAATTGTAAAATACAAATATATTGTGAAACATAGATACAAATACAAAGAGAGTGAAGCATTTTTCAAATTTTAGTATAGGTAAAGAATACGGAATAATTTTATCTTATAAATTACCTATAGTGTGAAAGGTAAAAGAAAGAAAATCACAAAAACAAAAAGGCAAGTACAGTAGAGATAAAAAAAAAAAACTATAAATAGTATGCCTATATTCCTTCAGGCATTTGCACTTTTTTGATACAGCTCAGTTTGTTTTCCCCCGCGATAGCACTTTTACATTCAAAATACATGCAATCGCCGGAGAATTGCGGATGGTTGCCGACGCAAATAGGTTACCGCCGTCGCCGGAGGAAGAAATTACTAACACGGCGACATCAGTAAGGGCAATGGAAGAGCTATTGAAGTATCGGTTTGGGAATACGAAGCTTCTGGAAGAAGCTCTTACTCACTCTTCTAAGGAATTACCAGCGGCTCGCTTTCGCCGGCGACGCCACTCTCGGCTTAGCTATTTCGAGTTGTTTGTTCGTGACTTACCTTGACGTTGACTGTGGTAAGCTTACTGACCTCCACGCTGCCAATGTAAGTACGGAAAAACTTGCTAGAGTTGCCGTCCGGCCGGCCTCTACAATTACCTCCGCGGCGATTCGGCAATCCTCGATGAAAAGGTACATTATAGATTTATCTATCAACTGATTCTTCACATTGTTATGTAGTTTAAGTTTTGTTGTTGCATAATAGTTGTAGCTAAGTTGGATTGCATTAGTTTTACTTAAAAAAGTTTTGTTGTCCCAAAATAGCTGTCACTTTTCACTTTTCGAGAGTCGATTTGACTAATTTTTGGAGCTAAATTGGATTAGATTAATTTAGTTTGTTAAAGTTAAATTTTAGATATTTTTTAAGATATACGAAAAAGGATAAGTTGCAAATCTTCTCGTATCAATATGTTGAAAAGATACATCTTAAAATGTTGGTTAAAGTTCATATAGTTTAAGTTTTAAACTATTAAGAAGCGGATAGTGACAAGTATTTTGGGATTAAGGGATTATCTATCAAGTACAGAGGTATGTATTAAGCATTTGTCAGGGTGATCAGTCTCCTTTTTTACTATTTAAGTTTGTGCTGGCCAAGGATCTTATAGCTCTCTTTTCTTTTTCCTTTCTGGATTTAGAGTACCAATGTATCAGTCAACTATGCCTCAATCCCAACTAGTTAGATTGTCTATACGAATTCTCTATATTTATTCCTCTAGATTTCTATTATAACTTGCAAATGTAATTATGTAGATTAAAGAGACGAGTCTCACAGACTTATTGTCTATTAGTAAATAGTAAGTGCTTAGAATTTACAAGGGATTTTAACTGTAATTTATAGAACCCGCTTTCATGCAAAGCTAGTTATCCCTGTAAACTTTGCATCAAACTGGCTCAAGCTGTACTCCTGTTTCAATGTTTTGGTGACTTTTGCTGCAAGACGAATGATGTCTGAGTAGTCATTAAGTATGCTTGCTAGTTATCATAGGTAAAACTTTTTTCCTCTGGACATGTTTTGTATGTGTTATTCTCCAATTGTTGAAAGAAATGATTAAGATGTATTCCAAAACAAAATTTTCAGTTGTGATTTTTTTTTTTTGGTATTTTAATTAAACTCTTGTTCTTGCAATAATTTCTGACCTTGTGACATGGTAAATGCATGTATTTCGTATGGGAAAGATTTTCATTTGGTAATTCTTTCTGAGTTTGTTTGTCTCAATATCCAGATGCTGCCATGTTTTTTCTGATTATGTTGCAGTCACATTAAATGTATGAAATTGGTTTCATTATTGTTTGCTTTCTGATGGTTGCAGAGTAGAGAAAGAGATAGGTCCTGCTCATGATAGGAGGTTTATATGCTCTGTGCAAATTAGAATCGCTGAAGGCATGCTTTTTGTGATGGGAGACGAGAAGTCACGAGTAAAAAAAGCAGAGAATTCAGCAGCTTTAACAATGATCCGGAGTTTGCAGGAATCCAAGTTCAGTTGATTTGTACGTAGTTCCACGTTCCAATTCCAGGACGAAACAGACAGCAGGGGACAGTGCAACTTGGAAGTAAAGCTTACTCAGGTTCTCTCTCGATTCGTGCAATAATCATCTTTGGTTGCTGCAAAGTGAATATAGGAATACAATATTAATCCCCACTTAAGAAAATAGATAGCAGAAGAGAGTACACCAGCTACTACATGATAGTGTAAAAGACACCAGGACCTACATCATAGCAGACTAAGCTCTGGCCAATTCAGATTAAATTTTTTCCATAAAGCTCTTTACATAAATACCATATTAGAAAATGAACATTGGGCCTAGAGCAACCCCAAAAGTTAGCTCATGAGGTGAGGATTTCCCAATACCATATAAGAAGACTAATTTCCCTTACCACAACTGGTATTGCACTCTAACACTAAATGTGTAGAATTCATGATCTTTTAAGTGCAAAAGTAAGACACGATCGCTCCATATCTTCCGACATAGTTAATTAATACTTGTATATCTATGTTCCGTGTCTACAAGTGCATTGGTCTAAAGAAGGAAAAAGGTTCTTTTACATTGAAAAGAACATTGAGAAACATGTGGTGTATGACAAGAACATTTCAAGCAAATTGTCTTAAGGTGCATGAGTCCAAGCACAGGTGGGGCTCCAAAAGTTGACGATGTTCTGTTGCTAATCGTTACAATCCCTTGTTATGTATCTAGCTATGGGACGTTGCAAGACAAAGTCAGAGTTAATGTTGAGTGAATTAGCAGTCTGGAAAAAGGTTTTCTTATTTCTACGTTTGAAGTACTCAAAAACTTGATTAATTTTCTGCTTATTATTTCACTGATTCAAATAACACTAAATACAACACTGATGGATTAACCACCCGTCTGAAAACAAGGAAATAACTTCCTACTACAACTAAAATGAGAAAGTGGAGGAATAACCTCCTTACTGCAACAACTACTACACAACAATAGGAAAAATAAATAACTTAAAAGCTGAAGTAATCTACTGCAAACAACTGCTACAGAGAAAAAAAAAAAAAAAACTTATAAGCTGAAGTAATCTACTTTCTAATTTCCTTAAATCTTCCATGTGTAAACCATTGGTAGACTAAAGGGGCGCTAACAATCAGTCATTTTACTATTTGTAATAGATACCTTATCTTATCGTACTAATAAAGAATTGTAGATTGTTGTCAATCCAGTTATAAAGAATCAGACTTAATCCCTTATAAGTAACCTGATAATATCTTCAGAAAGATTAGCAAAGTGAGACATGAATACAAGTTGCAAAAGTTTGACCAACTTTTTAAGAATGATTTGCCATCTTGGTCATAAGTGTATGTAGAAATATACTTTATATTATTTTAGAGAGCATACTTTTACTATATAATTATATGTTCAACACCTACTATATAATACATAAAATTTGCACTCACTGTCATAAAAGAATAGTGAGATGCAGTGACTCTAGATCCAGCCCTTCTAGCAAAAAAAAAAAAAAAAAGAGATATGATGTATGCTAAGAATTGTACCAATTGAATTTGGCATATTAATAAGGAACAAGGATTGCCTTGATCAAAAAGCTGCTTTGTCATAGAAATCATGAAGCCTCTTCCATGAGTCTTCTCTCTGTATCTTCAATTGCTTGTAGAAGTTACCGATGAATGTCTCTGCTTTATAAAATAGCTCCTGTGCAGTGACTCAAGACCAGCCCCTTCAAGCAAAAAAAAAAAAAAAAAGAGATATGATGTATGCTAAGAATTGTACCAATTGAATTTGGCATATTAATAAGGAACAAGGATTGCCTTGATCAAAAAGCTGCTTTGTCATAGAAATCATGAAGCCTCTTCCATGAGTCTTCTCTCTGTATCTTCAATTGCTTGTAGAAGTTACCGATGAATGTCTCTGCTTTATAAAATAGCTCCTGCTTACTGATCAGCTGATCCCCAACTTCCTCCCTTTCAGTATATTTTTCTTCCTTAATGATCTCTTCCGCTTCACCAATCTCCTCATCACCAGTACCCCCTATGAAAAACAAGCTTGGCATTGAAGGGCACTTCTTCACTAGTGCCTGCTCATGTACTTCTGCAACACCAATAATTTTCTCTGAAGCACATTTTTCAACCACTTTACCGGTATTTGTTTTAGTAGTAATCAGAAGCGAGCTCTCTAAGCTCGCTACATGATCATATTTAGCTTTAGGGGCAGTTTCTTGATGTTCACTAGTTCCAAGAGAGGGGAGAAAAGCTATCACTGGAATAGTCATGTTATGTTGTTTTTGGGTGACGATGCTGTTTGTTGAAGGTAATTTCTTGTCATATGGAGACTTGAAGAAGAAGGAAATGAGGCCAGCTTCAGCTCCTAGTGAAATGATGAGAAGGTGAACAATGAAATAGAGGTAAGTTGTTCTTACTGATGTGGATAATATAGGGGTGATGATAAGAAGGGCAGCTATGATGAGTAGAAGCTTTAGAACTTGTGATATCTTGATCATGTCCATGGATAATGTTTTCCTATGCAGTTTGATGAATGTAAAGGTGTTGCTGCTAGGAGCAGAAGTGTGGTTTTTTGAGTTAGATAGTGTAGTGGTGGAGCTTAAGAAATATATGTATGGGACAACTTCAGATTTATAAGGAAGATATTGAAGAGAGGAAAAATGGAAATTAAGTTGGTTGTCTCCCGTAGAAATGGAACTTGGATCTAACTCAAGTTAGGAAGTTAAGTCATGTTGTGAGTGTCAGGCTTTGACAATAGTTAGTATGTCGAGCAAGCGTTTGCATTTTTATCCTGACAGAGATTGTCCAAGACCATATAAGAAGTCAAGTAACCCATCCCTCAACCTCAAACAACGTGCGATACTTTAACCCCCACCCACCCCACCTTGACCGCATGCCCAAGCCCAACATTTGAAGTTTGGGCAGGATAACATGGGACCGAATGTTGGGACATGCAATTACAGTGACTTAGCTTTGATCCCATTTGAAAAATGGATATTGTGCTAGCTCAATCTCAAAAGTTAGCTCATAATGTGAGGATTGTTCAAAACCAAGGTTGACGCTTAACAAAAGAGAATATTTCTATGTTATATTTATCCGATGGTTTTTGATTAATCTCAACAGCTAAGATGTTAATTAGACTTGCATTATAGTAGTATAGTAGTAATGATGGAAGAATATTAAAGTAGTGGTCGAAAAGAGAGAAATGGTCATTTATCAATTCACTCAACTAATTCAAACTCACATTGTGTAGAGCCCATTTAAGGGGAAGCATCCCCTACAAGGAATTTCTCCATTTTCATATTTGCAACCTCCTATTAAAGATGAAGAAATCTCATTCCTCCCACAATACCCTCAAAATAGTATAATTTCATGGAGAAAATCACTATTGTTTAATTGTACATTCTCAATTTCATATTACTTTGTTAGAAAAAGATTTTTTCACAGTATTTCAAGCATAAAATTCTGAAGCATGCCAATTCAGTCATAAAGTACAAGTAGAGTCGGGACAAAAAAAATATTTTGGATGATAATTATAAAAAAATAAAAGAGTGAATTTAGATAAATTTTAATTGGACAAGTAGTGATAAGGTCGGTGGAGAAGACAATTTATTCAATCTTCCTGTGGCTGCTTCCTTTTAGGAATGTTACTGCTACAGGAAAAGTAGGCCCATTGAAGACAATCTTTGTCTAGGACTCTTGTCCCAAATTGGTGGTGTGGTGGGGGCTGGCTATGATGTTTTTCTGTTTCCATTGTTCCACCAGGGTCCGATTAAATTTGGATTCGCACATTATAGAGCCCATTTCGGGGGTGCTCCCAATAATTACTTGTTCATTCTTAGGTTCTCGAATCTGTGATTGGTTAAGGATGAAGGAGTTTCAACCATCTCACCTCAACCCATTTATCACTATGAAATAGCTTAAGAATTCCAGTATATTTGGTCCCCTATCTCCGTCTAAAATAACCGTGGATTAGGACTATTATACTTTTCGACAATTGATGAACTGGTCGGGTTAACAAATCAAAATTAGTTTCAGTCATTATGTATTGAAGAGAAGTTTAAGCCTTGAGATTTGAGAATATGTTTCTGCATGTGAAATTGACACAAAACGAAGTTAAAATCAAATCAGTTAAATGCTGGTGTTTGTCCTTAATTTTCCCGGAGGAAAAAAACGTTAGAAGAAATAATCTCTTACGCCCACTTACAATTTGAAAATCCCTACTTTTATTAATGTCTTTCTGAAAATAGCATGTCATAACTAAAGTAAGTAATGGTTTACAAAATAAAATCTCCAGCCAGCTGCTAAATGAAATCTTGGTTGCTAATATCCTTTTCTTCTCTTTGCTTCTTTCTCCAATTTTTTTCTGCGTTACAGCTAATTCCCTCCCGGTCCATGTTCCTTTTCACGTCCTTTCACTTTCACATGCTAGTTTTCATCAAAAGATAATGGTCACCGCTGTTTGACTGATTTGGGTTTCGTCTATACAACTATACTATTCCGTTGTTTCAATTTGTTTGTTTTACTTTTATTTTTAATTTGTTTTTGAAGTAACTTTTTTGACAACTTTTAAATTCTAACTTTTCATTTGGCATATCTAAGACAACAAAGATTAAATGATATTTTGATACATTCTATGTATCTTTAACCTAGGATCTCAAAATTCAAGTCTTTTTTACTTTGTTAGTCAAAATCAGACAAACTGAAACGGAAGGAGTGCTAGCATTCATTATGTGGTCATCACTAATTCTCAATTCTTATCAAATTTCAAGATTTTACACGATTAACCTGATCATGGATCTAGTTTAGATAACAGAAGTCCAACTGAACAAATAGATGCATGTATATCACTTCTGTTTGAAAAGTCGTAAAGGCTCCAACATCACTTGCTTTTGAGTAATTTTGGTCATTACCACCACAGAGGATGTGGTAGGATGATAAAAACCTTTCGCTCTTAATCAAATGTCTTAAGCTCCTAAAAAAATGTTCTAAATTTCTTAAGAGTGCTTTACCCTCTTAATTAATCAGTTCAGTAGGGGTTCTGGTTACTAGATGGACACGGGGGGCAGGGGGCAGGGAGGGGGGACTGTTCATAATACAACATACATACCTATAACCTATGACAGTAGCAAAATCTTAACTTTCCTTTCACTTATTAAAGAACAAAGAAAAATTCTTCACTTATCTTAGTTGTTTCCAATTTTATGGCAAATTTCTGCATTAACTTCCTTTACCTTGTACATGAAAACAAATTGTCATACGCATATAAATGAAAGTTGTAACATGTATCAACAGTAAAGTTGTTTTCGTCTCAGATTCTCATTCATTTTGAAGATTGATGCATATAATAACCAAGCTAGTATTCAACAATTATAAATAAATGGCTTGAAAGTTAGATAATAAACTAAAAAAGTACAGGTGATTGAGTTGTCACAATCACGAACAATACACACTACCCCCCACTCCCACCCCACCAACAAGTGAAGAAAGGATGAATTCGCATGGACTCTCCCTTGGTAGTGATGTTGATTCCAGCTTTAATAGCTTGGAACCTTGTCGATATTTACTGAGTATTTGAAGGGAGATGATAAAGTTGAACTCTAGATTGAGCTTCTCAGCAGAAATGGCACTACACATCCCAGCACTGCACCGGCAAGAACCTGCACATTCATCTCAATGACATTAACTTCCAGGGAAAACATAATTTACTAGTATTCACACTAGTTCCTTCTTTTTATGTGTCATATTAGTTATCGGGTGTTGAGTGATAGAAAGATGCCAATCAAAGTGAAAGATAAGTTCTATAGAACTATATGACCGGCAATGTAATATGGTAGTTAATGATGGGACACTAAAGTCCAACATATCCACAAGATGTCTTACAGAGATGTGGATGCTAAGATATGACATCATGCAAATTAGATAAATGTTCACCAGAAAGTTTCAGTAGCACGCATTGAGAATAAAATGAGAGATCGCTTGAGATGATGTCCTGCGACCTATACCTACAGAAACTTTGATCCATAGATGTAAAACTATGATGAGCGAAGGCGTTAAATAGGAATGGGGGTAAACCTAAAATCACATCAAAGGATATTGTCTCGAAAGACCTACAAATCATTGGAATCAATCAGCACTTAGCTTAAGAGTTAAGATATAAGACACTGGGGGAAAAAAGGATCCATATACTAGTTGAGAAAAAAGTTTTAGACTTGCTAGAGAATTTCTAATATTATTATTATTACTACTATATATATAAATATATATATTATTACTCTTGTTTTATTGGGTACGATGATAATATGAGTTGAGCTTAAATAAACCAGCATGGATTCATAAAGCCTATCCCAACTTGTTTAAGTTGGGATGAGACATAGCTGTTGTTGTATTAGTTTCTGCCACAACATTAAACAATTGTATTATTGTAAATGTGTAAAAAATGAGGTGCATAAGTAGTGCTATCTTTACTAAGATTATTGTTGTCACCAAGAGGTGATGAAGAATAGCAAAAATAAAAATAAAAATGCATAAACTACAAACTCATTGCAACCATACCTGAAGGGGAGTGTGACCAAGCGAATCTCGCAGAGGTCTAACATTGGCAACAGGATGCTCGGGAGGCAATTCACACACTATCTGGTTCAACAACTGCATCAAACACCAAATTCTATCATTTACTATACATACATTGTAACTTCAAAGCAATTTTTATTGCAAATCAGTAGGGGTGACTCAACGGACTTGGTGGCCTAAAGCCAAAATATATTAAAAAGCCCTTAAACTTCTTTCATAAGATCCATACGATAATGGGAGCTCTTTCTCTAAAAGAATTTTCTTAAATTCTTTTATAATAAGAGTCTGTCATTAACCAATTTTTTTATATACACTAGAGGACTGACACAAAAGAAGCCAACATTGCTTTGATTTAGTGGTGGGACTTGGGAGCACAATGCGTGATGTATGGGTTAGGTGTATGTCACCATATTAAACTCTCCTCTGTAAAACAACATAGTATTTAAATGGAAAAGGGTAGAGGGATGAGCCCATTATCCACCAAGTTTCAAACCATACAACACTTGCCTCAGGAATTTCTTAGTTAAAGAAGATGTGAGACAAAAGAACATGCTTTTTGACTCATGGATCAATTAAATATTCCAAAAATAAATATTTAGCTAACTTAGAGACTGAGTTGACTTAGAAATTGAACATGAAAAAAAATATAAAGGAAGAAAAATTAGTATCGATGAGAAGGTAAATATACTATTTAATTTACTAAGAGAAGATTATCATTACCCACTCAACTGTACAACCTTTACCAAATTTTTAAAAAAATATTAAAATTTAAAAGCTTTTATTAATAATACATAATTATATGTTATATATAATAATAGAGTACTACATAATTTTGGGACCTTTAATATTTGAGGGCCTAAGTGTAAGGGCATCACTTGTCTTCCCCTAAAGCACCCCTTGCAAATCAGCAAGTGCAAATATCAACTACAACTATTATTTTACATCACATAGGTAAAATTCAATTGTTTAAGCATAGAATGGAGAATATTTTTATATTGAGAGTGATTTGAACGTAATGTTATTTCTAATTGCATATGTCATAGCATGATGAAAATGAGATAAAGGAAGGTGGAAAGAAAGATTACTTCAGCTTGGCGCCCAGCATGAAGCCTAACACCGGTAGCATCATACATTACCTGTAATAAAGGAAATCCATTAGAAAATGAGGAGAAGAATAGAAGTTCGTTATGCAAAATATAAAAAAGAAAGTTTATACAGAAAACACTGCATAACACCTTACCCCCTACCTTGGAAGAGGTAGTAGAGAGGTTTTATCTTATTACGAACCCCACCCCCCACCCCCCGGCTCAAGAAAAGCAGAAATTGTAGACATCCGAAGGGCAATATGTACAAGTCCCTTCCCAATGTTCCCCCAACCCCAGATAACACATATACAAGCTAGCCTCTCTCTTCCAAAGAAACATGTATGTTAATACACATATCATATATGTATGAATGTGCATGAATATGTATTCCCAGGTTAGATGGTCTCTTCCAAAGAAAAAGTGATCAGGATGTATGACATTGCATCTTTTTCTCTAGTTACAACAACATACCTAGTGTAATCTCACAAGTGGGATCTGAGGCTTCTTTCTATCTTTCATACACCAAAAAATTTAACATTGAGATGCAAAGAAGATAATTTTAAAAAAGGACTGTTGCCAAAAGGTAACAATTATGCCAAACCTGAGCATCATCAGGAATTTTCCTAGGATAAACAGAAAAACTGAAGGTTGTCTTCTTCTTGTTCTCATGTGTTGTCCCCGTGTTGGGATTAGATTGATTTATGTCTCTCTAAACCAAACATCAGCAGGGGAAATTAAAAAAATAAGACAAAGCCTGGTTAAGAAATTACTCACAACACATGCCAAAACCACAGCAATCGCGAAGACAGATCCTCCAGCTCCTTCCTGTAAATAAATTGCCATTATCAGTGAAGTAACTGTTGCTGAATGTGATGATGGCATTCCACCTGAGCTAAGCATCCTTTTTGAATCCCATCTCTTCTCCTTGTACCTGCAAAATCTAACAGGGAATATTCAAAAGTTAACCAAGAAAGTAGAAAGAAAAGGTAAGAGAAAACTTGGTGATCCTGAAAAAAGTAAGCTCTTGAAATTCAAAGATCACTCCACAGGAAATACATATTTCTCCATTTTTTTGTCAATATCAACCTCCTGAATGAAAATCTATCATAAAATCCGCATACATGCACCTTTAACTCTGTTTTCACAGCAAATAAAACAATGATTCCCTCCACCCTACTTAAGATACTTTCACATTACGTTTTGTTTTGATGAAAGGGAAGCAAAAAGGGGCTTGATGATTTAATTCCCCGAGTAGTTAACCTCTCACTCATGTTGTGTGATACAGCTATAAGGAAAGTAAACACACTAATTCCTCCATTGCAAAAGTTTCTGGAGAAGTGTATGTGTGATAATGTGCCTATCCACCTTTACTCCACCTTCTTTGTCACTTTTCATAACCAATCAAGGAAAGCTAATCCTTACCACAATCTTTTACAGCTCTCTCTCTCGCTCCCGTTTGGAAAGTACCACTCTGTTTTACAATTTGTGGTAACAATGGTGCCTGGGCAAACTTACATGCACCTTGACTATTACACCAGGTATCTAGTACTACTTCCCACCAGCAAAACCATCAAGGCTTAGGCAAACAAAAGAAATCGCCTAATTTTTTTTTACTCGGAGATTGACCCTACTCTCCAAGTTTCTACCACTCCCTTTTTTTTTCACATTAATGACTGTTAAATAATCTCAGATTCTCCTCCAACTGAGAAGAATCTGCATGCTTAAATCCATAGTCATTGATAAACAGTAATTAAGTATCCCCGACTCTCTACCTCCTCGAGATAGGGGTAAGGTCTGTGTATATTCTACCTCTACCCTTCACAGACTCCACTCGTGGAATTACATTGGGTATGTTGTTGTTGTTAGTATCCCCAGTTCAATTAGAACAAATCAAAAATGAGTTTCAGATTTCAGAAATATCCTCTTTTGCAGTTCTGCTATGTTGATTCAGATACAAAATTTTCTTTCGGAAAGACGCCCCTGACTACAGAATCAGGAACCGTTCCCATCAGAGGGGAAAAACACACGTTTTGACAAATAAATAGAAGACTCTTAATTTATTCCAATACTATAGAGAGGCAATAAAATTCATCACCACGCGAAGGTAAAAGTAAGAAAAACCCATTGTTTCTTTACTTATAATTTCTAGATTGAGGAAGGACCTGTGTGAGTCAGGAGAGATGTTACCCACCAAGCTAAATCCTTTACTAAAGCTTAACAACAGCGAAATTACTGCATATAAGATTTAAAGGGATCATTATCACCAAGTGGATGGCTAGTGATTCAGACATAGGATAGAAATCTATAGATCCCAACTGGTTGCTACAATACTCAATGTGAGCCCATCGTCTCAACCTAGGCGAGCAAAGTTACCCACATCTATGCTTGTACACTAGCGTGCTGTGCATTGTCTTGGTTGAGGTGCGTAAGTAATTGGACACTAACATCATCTTAAAAAGATATGGAGGGATCATTATCCTTTTATCTACTGTTCTTCTAAATGATGACCAAATCTCTAAACTAGCGATTGTGTTAGGAGGATTCAAAACCTTCCTATAAATTATACTCTGATTTTCTCGATCAATAAATTTATCTTTGAACTTTCCGAGGATCAGCATTTTCACTTTAGTTTTCGGTATATGCTACATTCTCTAGAAATTCAACAATCTAAACCTCAATTGCTCGCTCAGTATGCTAGAAATTTGCAGCAACATCCAATTCCGGAAGCAGTTTAAACGTTATAATGATTGTTGTATATATCAACAACAAAAACTTTCACATACTCACTCACAGCAACAAGAAAGCCATGATCTTTCTTCTTTTTTTTTAGTTCATACACTGACATCATCAGAAAAATATATGGAGGGATGAGTATCCTTGTATCTACCGTTCTTCTAGATCATGACCAAACCTCTAACTTCCCAGTCTGAACTGGTGATTATGTTGGACAGTTACAAGACCTTCCTATATATTTTACTTCAATCAAATAACTCTTAGCTTTGCCGAGGATCAGCATTTTCACTTTAGTATTCCCTATATGCTACTTTCTCTAGAAAATTAACAATCTAAACCTCAATTACAGCTCAGTAGGCGCGAAATTTGCAGCAACATCAAGTTCCAAAAGTCATTTAAACATTATAATGACTGTTGTACTATCAACAACAAAAACTTCCACATATTCACAGACAACAAATACCAAAGCAATCATCTTTCTATCTTTTTTTTCCCAATGAAACTTCATATATTAACAATTCAACTATTAAAATAACAATCATTACGCCCAATAAAAAAGTATAAGCAGTTAAAGACTAATAAAACACAACTTCAAAGTTATAGTACCATATCATTTAGAAGCAAAATAGAAACAGGCGTTTACCAGGTGGTGAACAGCTTGAGGAATTGTGCAATAGCACAGGCAAGTAAAGCAGAAAAGAGGGGAACATTGACAGGTGAAATCGACGACGCATACGACCGCGCACTTGAAGATGCATCGGAAGCTGTAAGCACTTCGTTCATCTGATGAGATAATTGAGAGATAGATAACCAAACGGACGGAGATTTGATAATTTACCGGAAGCTTCTAGAATCTAGACTTGATTTCTTCCAATTGACGCCGAGGAGGCTTTGATTTGTGGATCTATAGGATGAAGGTAAAGCCCCGCCGTCGCTGTCCACCGGCGTTGTCGTCGTCGATCGGAGTTTTGTGTGATTTTTTTGTTAGGTTGCCTGTGATTCGGTAATTGTGGACGGCGAAGGCGAAGGCGTCGACGATGGACCCACACGGGGCTGTTGAAGATGGCAAAGTTGTATATAAAATGGGTATTCTCACAAAAAAAAAATGGCCTATGGAGATTTACATCGGGTGGGACCTAGTTACCTTATAGCCTTGGGCTATCTCCAACTTGCTATTTCCTTTTTCTTTCTTTTTTTTGAGTTTTTTTTTTTTTGGGTAAAGTGGAACATAACAAACCAACTAAAAGATAAGAAAAAAAGAAGAAAAAAACTTAAAATTGTTCATAAGCAACACCACTTAAATTTGTCGGGAGAAGAAATTTCATATCCTTAAATGCATGACTCCAGAGTCCAGACTCTAGAGTATCAACGACTCTTCATGCTTGTGGTCCTAGCTATCCCAACAATCATTTTTCTTGAATATCCGTAAAGGTTCTTCCAAAGGTTCTTGAGAGTGTATTTGATATACTATAATTCAGTAGTGCGAATTTTATTAAGGTCTAAGGAGTATTAAAATAAAGAGGTAAAAATATACGGAAAAAAAATTTAATAAAATAAATTTTACTAGTGATAGCAGAACATAATTATACTAACATTATAATATTCTATAAGGTTTTATTTCTTGAAATGTTTTTATAATAACATTATTTTTTAATAGATACATTCTTTTCAAGATAAGACACGTAATCGCTCAAAAATTTATCATTCATCTAATCTGGCAAGTTAGCTTGTCTTAAAAAGTATTAACACGGATGTATATAATATATTTATAAAATTAAAATTTAATTTAAACATATAATATAATTTTCGATAAGAAGTGTCGCTGGACCCCTCGAATAAGGATAGGTCTACCCTACGGGCTACGACCATCAAATGTTCAACTTAACTTGCACAGGGGCCAGGCTGTTGCCTGTTGGGCACAGGTTTTTTCTGCCATTGGTTTTTGGGTAGGTGATAAAATTTAATGAATATGCTCTATTATTTTAAAAGAGGAAAATGTACACCAAAATTTACATTAAAAAAAAAGAAATTTATCTTTAAATTTACGAAAGTTAAAAATTTTATGTAGGTGATAACAATTAAAAGAGTGAGGTGATGTGTTGAGAATATAATTAAATAATAAAAATATGTTTTCTATAAATTTAAAATGAGATGGTCATACAATTTAACATAATATGTCCTCTTCATATCTCGCAAATCTAAATATGGAGTTCTAGTTAGTTTACAATTGGGATTATTATTTCCTTGTATCACAATAGGATATGTACATTGTGAACAAAGGATATAAATTCATATCGTGAGAATTTTCAATCATGGGTGATCTAGTCGTGATTGTTATCGATCCACCTCCGCCTCTAAAAAGGAGACTCGTAAATATGACTTGTTATCAATGAGCTAATAACAAATATTCAATTATTATTTACCCTTAATCGATAATAACAATTTCATAATGTTTTCGACTCAATGGTTGCATATTAAATAGACAACATATTTAGTATTTATTTATTTTGTAGTCTTTCCTTGAGAACTTTGGATATGCATATTTTATTTGGATAATTAGGTTGATAATATATTGATATCTGAATGTTGCCCACTGCACAGGTGTTACTTAGCTCTATTCATTTTCCATATAAAATTTCTTAACGATTAAATCAATAATCAAATTATTAATGAATAATAATTGATAAATCAATAGTTAACATCTTAACAATTTTTATAACGATAACATAGCTACAAAATCGAACCATCCATTAAGGCAATAAGCACCTCCTAGACTGTGCACATTGACTATGCCAAATACGATAATTATACACTGCATAGTACATACTAATTAAATTCGTAAAAGATCAATCATGTTGTGCTACAGGACTGTTTCACCCTTAATCAGAGGTCTCAGGTTCGAGCCCTGGATATGGAGAAAATTTTGTTGGAAGTTCCACCTTTGAATAGGCCATACAATGCGCGATTCAGATTTAGTCAGGGATCTACTGCGAACTCCGAACACCAGGCAGGAAACAAAAACAAAAAATAATTAGTAAAAAAATAAAAATTGTAAAAATAAATAAATTATTATTTATTTATTTTTAGTGGAACCCACTTCGCATTGTCTATCGAGTCGGAAGATTGACTAAAGATAATGGAGTCATTAAAGCACGTGAATGGTGATGTGGGGCCAGGTCAAACTGTGGTTGAGTCTAAGTGGGTCCCATTAACACAATCTGTTATATGACCTTTTTGCCCTTAATAAGTTTTAATCAATTTTCTTAAGGTCAAAGTACCTAATACAATAATCAAGGAGAATTGACTAATACACTAATCATCAAAATATACGAAGGTTCTCCATCTAGGGAAAGTCAAATTGTTTATGACTCCTAATTTTAAATAAGGAAACATTTTTTTGCATGTTTAGCATTCTTTTGAAGACCAAAAGGTCAATCTGTTTTTTCTTTAATATAAGGAAAAAATATCTAAATACATATTTTATTTTATTATAATCATTATAAATTTCTATCATTTTAAAATAGATCAAAAATCCTCTCTCTCTGATGCATTCCTCCCCTCTCGGATACATCCTTTTTCTATGTATTCGGATATCTGCTGATGTATCTAGAAATTCAGTGATATATCCGGAAGTCTAGTAATATATCCGGAATCTATAAATTTTAAAGAATTCTCTAATTTGAAATATAGGAGGAAAATAATGTGATTAGCTCTTAACACTATGAAATTTATGTAAATTATATTAAATATAATCTTGAAATATAAGAAATTTATCGGCCCAATTAATTTAGATTTGTATAGCGCACCATGCACACCACCCATTAAAGGATAAAACATTTTCTATCAATAGCAGAAACAGAATTTTTATCACTAAGAGGTTTTATATACAATGAAGTACACACATAAAGAAATATAAAAAGAATTTAATGGTGGAGGGGGTAGATCTACAATTGAATATTATGGGTTTTTACACTCTTACTGAATTCTAAATTAATAATTTATATATATTAAATCAAATTTGATTCAATACTATTGAATTTGATTGAGCTTGTACCTTTTGTTCTAGGCCTATCGAAGGAGTTAAGATATTTTTTTTCATTCAAAGAGCTTGAACCAAAGGCATCTAACTAAGTGTCGGAGAATTTAATTCATCGACCATACACAGGGAGTGAGAAGTATTCCTCCATTCTTAATCAAGAGGTTTCAGAGTCGAGTCTCCTTCGATAAGGAGTCGTCTCTGTTAGGGAACACTTTACCCCCTGACCCTAATGTGAGACTTTTCAGCGCAAATTCAAATTTAGTCGAGTTCCAATATGGATTCCAAACACCTAGTGGAAAATAAAAATAAAAATTGCGACACAACTTATCTTTTTGAAATTAACGTAACAAACTATACGATCCTTCAAATGAAGTCAACATAAAATTTGATTCGAAAATAACTAAATAAAAGAAAATTTTATTTTGTGGTATTAAAACCGGTATTTATCCGTAAATATATTTGTATTGATAGTCACTTTAGTCATGCTCGACCTTTCTCGAAATCATCTATTTTTGAGAATGTGGTCAATCAAATATTAATATATTCTCGATTCTTTATCAATGCTTCAATTTTTCATTCTCATGTGAAGGCGTTCAATTTTGGAAGAGCATCCTCTTTTTTCTTCAAAAAACCTGGTTAGTTGGATTGATTTTTTGTCCCCAAATATGCAACAAAAAAAAGATTAATTTAGCTTACCACATTCATTCATTAAAGTACTTGCTTTTCTCTAATGAGCTTTTACCTTTCAAATAAAAGAAAAATAGACGCAACATGAGAAATACTTTTAAATCCTTGAGATCATTCGATCTCAATCAGTTAATCTCATGTTATTAGTATTAGAATAAAGATGATGACCTAGCTTTAAAAAATGACATTTTCGCCCCCACCCCCACCCCACCAAAACTCTTTACATCCTTCTCCCAACACATTCTTACTTACATTACATGTAATTTATTTGTTCGCAACAAATTCAAATTGGAAGCTAATCTTAGGAAGAACAAGTTTTCCGTGCTTGAACTAAAAAATCGAGTCAAAATTTAAAATTTAAAATTCTAAATTTGTTAATTTATTGTTGTTACTAAGCTTGCAATTAAATATCAATATATACTTAATATTTTTCAATATAAATACAAAATTTAAATAAAGTTATTAAATTCATTCATGCTCGTTTTGGTCGAATATCCAAATCCAACGGTTACTATGGGTGGTCATTATGATGGCCGGCGCCTGCGTGTTATAAATAAAGAGTAATATGAAATCAATTCTATGGTCTGTATACAAATGTGTGTGAATCGGCATCAATAGGAAATATTTATTGTTTGGTTCACATTCCTAATATAATATATAGTAATAGCTTAATATATAATCGACATTTTAAATTAGTAGAATATTACTTTTACACATTCAAACAAAGTTTTGTTCCAACTAAACACGCCAGGTCTTAATAAAATATTTTAATTAGACATTTTCGATTCATATTTTGAAAATAATAATTTGTATGTCTTCATTTTATTAAGTAGTTAAGTTAATCAGACAAAATATGTCATTTCCTTTAATTATACACATTTTTTACCTCAATAAGCTGCAAATGGCTGACATTTTCTAATCGAACTTGATGCTATAATTAAAGGAGAATGACATATTTTATGTTAACTATCGAATAGATGAACGAACACACATGCAACTTTTTTCATTACATGTTTTAAAAAAATTGAATCGAAAGTGTCATATTGAAATACTTTATTAGATGTATGAGAGGTGTTCTATTGAAACATAATTTAAATTCAGCGTCTAAATGAAATATTCTAATAAATTAAAAAAATTAATTATATAAGTAATTCATGCATAACTATTTAATCTCTACCTTATTCATACATGCATAACTAAACTACCAACTAACAACTAATAACCAAACGACCCTTTGGTATTAATTAATGTAATGTATTAAGATATTTATCTATTCATTGCTCACACGTAATGTGCGCTCTATTATTCAAACTTGTGAGCGTATTGTGCTTTAATTCAGAATATTTGATAAACTCAAA